GTGGTGCACCCTGGGCAGCGTATACTCATACGGCAAAAAACGTATATAAACCGGCAATTGACTTCTGACTTCAACCACCATGACCCAACTCTATGTCAAATTAAACAATTTCTCAGTACTCGTCTTACCTTTTCTCTGCCTTTGTGTCCGTCTGCCTCTTATATCCGTGACTCATTATTCTGTTCCCCCCTCTCGACTTTTGTCACTTTGATGTTCCTCCTCCTCTCTGTGACGCCCGAAGTCACCTAAAGGGCTAATGATAACTATCAAAACGCCTGCCATTTGAAATAAGTAAGTAAATTTTTAATCAAGGTATAGTTATTTAGCCACCTTGTTCTATGATTTTTTAACAGATGAGTTTAATTCCCTTGTGGTTAATTGGACTACCACAAGAGGAACACAAATATAGATTATACCATTGTTTTCCGAAAAGCCACCCAGGGCGGTTAAACGGAAAATTCTATTTCATGAAACTATTTTTGAAACCAAATAAACACCCGTCCGAATAAGCGCCCGTGGACGATAATCCAGTAGTGAGATATTTCATCTAAGAAGAATATATATATATTATTTCATACAATAATACCGGCATTTATTTCAGTATTCATTTCAGCATAATTTAAAAGCAATTCTTGATCTTTAAGAAGATAGTGCAATGAAAACTTACGGTGAGAGTCAATCTGCAGTCCCAAATAGAGAAAAGCTGTAGGGTGCATTTAAAATTTTGACCTCAAAATAACCGCTCACCCAGATAGGCGCCCACGGGCGGACTTTATGTAAACCGCGATAGTTGATGAGACATGTCTGACTAACTTTCGTGTACTTTTAGCAGAGTCTAGTGAATAATTTGGATATTTTCTGGTGCACAAATCGTACGATTGGCGTTTGAGACTGAACCTGTAGCTCAAAATATGGCGATCATTTTTGCCAGGGGCGCCTTTTTGTGAAAATTGGCGCTTGTCGTTTACGTCTGGTAAGATCCCACCAGTAAGCGCGTTTTTGATCATGTGCAAACGGCATTCTTTTTGAGACGGTAACCACAAACGACATTAACAAGCTAAAACGCGACACTAAGGAACCTGCAATTGCCACCAAAATTGGGCTGCTGTGCCCATCACGTGACCCCACGCAAGCACTTTGTAGCCATTTCAGTCAGATACGAGTCACGGGAGCTCACAAAGAGGGGAACAAACTAAATGGCGGCCAGATGAGTCATAGCCAGAACTACATTTGGTAGACAGGGCAATAGGGGAGTCTTATGATAACGACTGGCGGTATGATAACGACTTTAAAAAGTCCAACTTCAGTCTCAAAGAGAAGAGCTGTAGGCCTGCATTTTAAATTTTAAACACGGTAATTAAGGCTATTTAATTCTCTTCTAAATCATGATAAATTTTAGCGCGTTTGTTCGGATGGGCTGACTTTCGGAAAACTCCGGTAATAATCGACTTATCAATGACATTGTCTTCCTCGTATTAAGTTCATAATTTTTAGTCTGATTTGAGGTGATTGGCTAATTGAAATCTCCGTTTAAATAGTTACACATAATATGACATGCAAGGGGTGTGCGATAGACTCACCTCCACGCGGTGGACCCTAGGCAACTTATTCTCTTACGGCAAAAAAGTCTATTAATCTACAGTTGACTTTTCACTTCAAACTACCATGACCCCACTGTATGGCATATTTGACCCCTTCCAGAGTGCTCATCTAGCCTTTTCTCTGCCTTTGTGTCTGTCTGTCTCTTTTGTATCTTTGAATTACTCTTCTGTCCCTCTTCTCCACTTATTCTCACTTTGAGGTTCCTCTCCCTCTCTGTGAAGCCCGAAGTCACCTAAAGGGCTAATGATAATTATCAAAAAGCCCCCCTCCCATTTGAAATACATAAATGTGATGTGCAATATAGTAATGCTTTAACCCTATAATTAAATTCTCGTGTCCGGAGTGACATCAGCTACTGGACTTTTAGAACTCATTAATTGACCGGCTAATTTGAGTGCCTGGTCAAACCACCTCAATTCAGTTGCATTCTCTTACGGCCAAGAACAAGGAAACGCGACTAACAAGGATTGGCATTGTTATTAATAAATTCTAATTAGTATGCAATTCATCGGCACCTTATTATATTCAAACACCAACAGTATGCAGCAGGGCGAATAACCCTAAATACATTTTTTCCTGACTTGTTTAGTAGAATGCGTGATGGCAGAGGGGTCCAGATTGTGGGACACGTTATCAAACAATTGGTCATCTCTCATGTCATCTAGCTGGCTTAGACATGTGGGACACGTTATCGCTGTGTGCACCGTATGCCTGCATGTCTGCTCGCCAGGATTAGGAGGTGCGCCGTACAACTCTGTGCAGCGACCGTACAAACGGGTGCGGCCTTACAACTCTGTGTGCAGCGACTGTACAAACAGTGATCATAAAGTAACCTCCTTGGGAGGTGCGACCGTACAAACAGTGACCAATCCTTAACATCTGTTTGTTTAACCTAATCCCCCATCCTGATCATGAGTAGCTCCCTGCGTGTACACTTGATCCCCAATATACGTCCTGAATAAACGTGCTCCGTGCTGCGCATCTGTTTCCTCTATAGGCAATATACGTACCGAATAAACGCATTTCGTGCTACACGTCAGTTTCCCTTATAGCTGGGCTATAGCTTAGCCTTCTGGGAGTCTAGCTAGATGTAGGAGAATCTGCCACAGATATAAACGCGCTCCGTGCTACACGTCTGTTTTCTTTATAGCTGAGCTATAGCTTAGCTGTTCTGGGAGTCTAGCTAGATGTAGAGAATCTGCCATAGAGATTTCTAAGTCAGTCAGGCTTTACTTAGGGAATCTGCCATAGAGATTTCTGAATCAGTCAGGCTTTACTAGCGTAGCAATCCGCCACAAGATATAGTGCACAAAAACGGGCGATTCGAGTTTTGCAATGAAAACCTTGGAGACGAAAATGATTGGACTACTGCAAGAAATTATTTGGGAAAAATATTAGCTTTATGAGGGAGTTGTCCCCCAAAAATTGATTAATCCCCCCCCCCCATGGGCTAGATTTTTAACTACCGGACAAAATGGACAAGAATTAGTGTGGTAATGGAAATTCTCCAATGCTCTGTCAAACTTCTACGCACATTCGCAGGTGTTTGAGTCAATATTTATTTCAAGTGGCGGGCTTAATGACACTTGTCACAGAAGGGAAGAACATCAAAGTGAGAAAAAGTGGAGGGAGGGAACAGAAGAGCGATTCAAAGATGTAAAAGAGGTAGACACACACGAAGGTAGAAAAAAGGTGAGGTTAGTACTGTGGAAGTGGTCGAATATGACATACAGTGGGGTCATGGCAATTTGAAGTCAGAAATCAACTGCCGGTTTATAGACTTTTTTGCCGTATGAGAACACGTTGGCCAGGGTGCACCACGTGGAGGTATGTCTATCGCACACCCCGTTTGTATCAATATTAAGTTAGATCCTTCCTGTTCTCCTTTTTTTCTCCGTACAAATAACTGAAGCTCACATATACAGCGAGCTGATATGTATAAATTTGTTAAGTCAAACTGTTAGATTCGCTGAGGCTGGAATTTGAAGTAGGCTAACAAACTTGATAGGCCAATAGACCAGGACCAAATTGGGAAAACTGTACCCCCATTGGCTAGAAAATGATACAGGATCATCCACGATCCAATACTCCCAGAAAGGTCATTGTGGTAAGATGGACCCCCATTCACTCATTTTTGTAACCTTCAAAGCTTCATGTTTTCACTTCCTAAATTGCTCTTAATGCAGGCTTTAAAAACCACACATCATACGGCGGTATGCTCATTTCCATTCCATTGTTAGTCACGTTGAGCAGATTCACAAATATTCGAATTTCCACTTTATTATACCCAAAAAAAGAAGTGAAAAATATCCAAGCAACCAATATTCTGGCCAAGACTGAAGCCACACGCAAAAAATGCATGTATACACACAGGTTTATTCACACACCATAGAAAAGTGAGAAATAAGGAGACGGGATGAAAGGTCCCAACACGTCATACATTAAAAAAATTAAGTAAAATATGACGAGTACGCAGCATGTCAGAGAGAGAGAAAAAAGGCGTAAAAATCCAATCTCACAATTCCTCCTTCTCCACAGTCTTGTCTAAAATGATAAAAAAATGCCAGTGGTTACTAGGAGAATTGGGAAATAAAGGGGGAGACAATATAGTTTAAGTGAAACAAAAAGAAAATACCTGATTGTTCGGTTGTGACAACCCGGGGAGCTGGAGTTGTCGTCGTGGATACTGGCGCTTCTTTTCCCTTGGATTTTGAGAATTCCTCTTGGAGTCCCTTGATTTTTTCGTCGAAAGAAGTCCAGTCGGGAATTATACGCTTTGCAGCCTTAAGTTTGGGTTCCTTAGTCAATGGGTTGTTGCATAAATCGATAGTCTTGGCTTTCTCCTTACTTGCATCGGAACACCAAGTCTCACACCAGAGCCACTCTTGAGGTAGTGATTTGATCGGAACCTGAAATCGTGAAATTATACAGAATTTAGTAATGAGTAGTGGAATAAAGTAGACGTTTTAAGCCAAATCCCATCCTCCTTAATGCCATTTTCTAAATAAGAGCGAGGGAAGCGTCATAAATTACGGTGATTCCAAAAGTAATGATTACGAGATGCCCTTATCTTATTTCCTATTATCATCACACAAACCGATTAAAACGGGCTGACTTTCAATCTAAAATCTTCACCGTTAGAGCTCAACCCAGACTGTCTATCCGTCGATTCAGAGTGACTTTACAACACCTAGATACCTTAATTTCTTCGTTAATGGGCTGTCACACTTTTAGTTAAAAGTGCATTTGAGGAGAACGCACCACAACCTCCACTTCATTTTGCTTTCTCAATCACCTATTTTACACAAGAATGTCATATCCGACATGAGGACTTCAAGCTAACATATCACTACCCTAGCACGCATCAAAGCAGTGATTCAAAGCACATAAAATGTGAGTCGGCATATTTCCACGGTAATAAAGATGAGCGTTTAATATAAGAACGCCGTTTCAGCGGAATTAAGAATTGTAAGACTAACTTGGTGGATCATATTGTTGGGGAGATCTTGATCTAAGTTGGAAAGACTGTTGGGATCCCTGGAGAGGGCGTGGTACTGCCCACGAAGCCGATCACCAGCCGCCATCTTGCGGAAGCGGACCAAATCGACCACATAGAGAGCAGAGATATGATACGGTCGATTGCCTAGGTGGGACTGCCAGTAGCCTGTCTTCCAGAATCGGAAACCGTCCATCTCCTTGCGATCATTACAGAAGGGGGTGTAGCCGTAAGGTGCTCCTTCCAAATCGAGATTTACAAGCTCTTGTAGGTCTGTGCGTACAATCTGAAAGAAAGTATAGGGAACGGCTTGTTCAATAAATGATGTAATCGGAATTTTACACGATTGCTTACAAGAAACTAAGTCCTAAGTCAGCTAAAGAGCTAATGATAACTATCAAAACGCCTGCCATTTGAAATAAATAAATGTTCTGGATTGCTATGGGAATAGGCTCTAAAACAATATAAAACTAATGAAAAAGGCAAGTATGAAAAGTTGTAGACTGTCTAAAAATTATCGAAACATGAAAAGCGTTCTTACCTGATCAGCGTCGACAAAGATAATTTTCTTGACATTGAGTGGGAAAAGGACATCAAGAAAGAGGATTTTGTAGCCCCAAATGATGCGCTGCTTCTCAGTTTGAGCATTCAGCCATCGTGGCCATTGGTACTGCACCAACTCGTACTCGAATCCATACTTCTCTGCCATGTAGGGGATGAATTCCTTGAATGACGGCGAGAGGTAGTTCTTGAGGAACCAGAACTTCACGGGGGATTTGGTATTACGGATCACCGTCAGCATCATAATTCTACAATGAGAAAAGGAGAGAGGTGTTTGGGTTGAATAGAAGCTATCTGACTTCAAAATCCAACTATTCAGAGGAGAATCTCCGACTTGACTGCATAAATGACACTTTTCGAATGGCATTGAAGATTGAATTTCGAATCATCATCCATGTCTACTTAATATTGGTATTTTCAAGTTAGGCAAGT